CCCTGCAAATGTTATGGATATGTGCATGCATGATTTTTGAAAGAGAAGCACAAAGTTTCATCAGATTCTCATGGACCTCCCATAAGCAAGGATAAAAAGTATGAGTGGAAACATGGGACAGTACAGTATGAGAAATATGGGAGGTGAAGCCTGGGGATTCCAAAGAACACTGCAGTAAATACCAGTATAATCCCTGACCACGAACTACCCTACAGGACACCAGCATACAAAAAAATCATCTCATTATTACACATAAAGTCATTCTTAAAGTATGTCTACACATAGACAAATAAAAACACTTTCTGTGCTTTTACTGCCCTTGTAAACCACAGAATGGTACACAGGTGCCCTGTCCTGCTTACTGTGGATGTCTGCTGCCCACTCACAAAGCACAGCCCTGCTTTGTTCCACTTTGCTCATCTCCTGCACAAAATTAAGAGGCACAGCTTGGGCTCCCCTGCTTCCCAGCAATGGCCTACACGGCACATACCTTTTGCTCTTTAGTTTCCACCCCAAATTGCCTAACACAAAACCAAATCCCACACAAATTCGCCTTGACAGTAACAAGGGAGTCCTGTGGAAAAGGAAACTAAACGTACAAGCAATCCATTTTGCTTGACGGCAGCCATGTTCCTGCTGGTATTTGCTTTGAGGGGAATGACCCTCCCATCTGCTGTCCTCATTTCACTCCCAGGAGCCCTATGCAAAAGAAAAAGCAGTTCACAGTCTTATTTTGCAGACATAAAAACATGTTCATCCAAGACATAGACACTCACAGTCACAGGGCAAAGCCAAGCCTTCTAACTCAATAGCTCAAGCTGCATGTCCAAAATAGTGCCACCAAGAATTCCACTTCTAAGTTGAGTAGACTATGGGACAGTCATCCTACAAAGAAAGAAAGGCCATAGGCAGGCAAGCAATGTGGAGAACTGTGCCACAGACTCTGAGGGGCGACCTGTTGAGGGTACCTCGCACAGCCAGGCATGGCCCCTTTCTCACAGGAGAGAAAAAGAGTTCTGAAGGCAGAACTTGACTGCTTTCCATGTTGCTCAGCTAGGAAGTGGTGGAGCTGAAATTCCACTTAGGCTACGGAAGGGTGTAAGGAAGCAGGCAGACTTCCTACAGAGCATGGGAGCTGCTGTATCTGCAGCCTCTTGGGGAGAGGCGGATGTCCGGCAGGGGTGCTAGAGTGGAGGCCGCACTGGGAACTCCCCAAAATCCAGAGCACATCCATGGGGTGGCCTTGCTTGTGGGTAGGAGTGGAGTGGGTGATCGGGAGCCAGGGTGTCTAGGGATGGGCCATGATGGCAGGAAAGGCTCCCTCGAGGCTGTGGAGAGCAGGATGTGGTGGGGGGCACGCAGCTCTGTGGGTTAGCTGTCAAGCTGAGCTCCCACCCAGACCTCCAGGTCCAGGGCATTTCAGGTTCTGGAGGGCAGGTTTCTGACCTCTGGTTTAAGTACATATTAAAAGCAAACACTGCGATCAAAGCCAGAACTTGTAGCATGATTTAACATCAACTATGTGACCCTACCTACTGCCACTGGAGCAGGAGCAGGAGCAGGAGCAGGAGCAGGACTGGACCAGGGGAGGAGGAGGAGGAGGAGCAGGAACAAGGGCAAGAGCAGGATGGGCCAAGGGCAAAGGCAGGGGCAGGGGCGGAGCAGGGGCAGGGACAGGGGCAGGGGTAGGGGTAGGGGGAACTCTGATTACTAAAAAGGCCTGAAGAGAATCAGGCCAACACCTGCTGCCTTTCCAGCCCCTTGCTCTGCTGATCACCGTCGCTGTTTCAGCCGGTATCTGCCTTTCTGAAACTTTTTCAGACACAGAGGATAGGTTTGCAGTAAACGGGGAAGCCAGCTCCCTCTGAAGCCAAGCGGAGTCCAATTGGAAAGGCGCTGGAAGGACAAGACACCCACATTCCTTTGCTAGTCAGTGGCCTCCACTGCATCCCATCACACACCCCAGAGGTTCAGTGCCAACTGCTCACGGTGGGGCCCTCAGCACCCACACGAAGGGCTTTTTCAGAGCAGGTACTACAGCTAGGATCTGGGACATTTGCTGAAAACCTACATGTTAACAGTTTGGTCCCCAGCCTTGGGAGCTATTGGGATGTGCCAGGATTTTAAGAAGTTAAGGGATTGGTAGAGGGTTTCAGGTAACAGGAAACACTGTCCTCAGAGGGGACTGAGCAGAGCAGATCTTATTCTTTACTGTTGCTTTTTGTTTCTGGTCAGGAGCCGGCAAGCTTCCTGGGCCCCAGCTGCTGCGGTGTGCCGCCCGCGCAGCCACAGCCACCTCAGGCCCATGGAACCGGACTGAGGGCTTCTAAACCTTGAACCCAAATAACCCGACCTTCTTTATAAGTTGACTGTCTCAACGTTTTTGTTGTTGCTTTTTACCTTGTTTATTTACAGTATGGAAAAGCTGCATGACAGGGAAAATGCATCTGTAATAGTGATGAGGTTCAGAATGGAAAGAATTTTGCTTCACAGAGAGATTGCTCCACTCCTTCTGCACTGCCTTGGTTGACCACTGCAATATGGTTCAAGCTGTCTGCCCACAGAGCTCCGTTATGTTTTCTCCTAGTTGCTGTTGTTTCATTTTTCCTACCTTAACAGAATGGCCTATTTAAATCAGAACGCTGTGTGCCCACCAAACCGTGCCTTACACTCTTCTCATCCAATCCTTTCCCGACCAAAGTCATTTACACCCATAGTTCTTTCTTGCTCTCTTTAACAGTTCCCTAAATCAACCTCCATCACCCGCCTCTTGGGTGCTCTGTCCTTCCCTGTAGGCCTGAGTTCTCCATACTGTCTTCAGACTAAGCCTCCCTGGCTATACTACGAGGCAGTGTAGGGAATGCAAAAGAAAACAATGCAAATTAAAGGCCAGAGAGCATCTGGGTAGGGCCAACACAGCAAGTGTGAGACAGGGGCATTGAAGAGAAGGGCGGAGGTGCCCTGCTGTTCACCGGAGGACGGGCCTAGCAGGGAGGGAGATGGGAAGTGTGGAGGGTGAGGTGGGCTCCCCTGCAGGTGTCAGCGTTAGCCAGAGGTCTTCTGGGCCCTTGGAGCTGAGTGTGTATGCACAAGCAAGCGCATGCCGGCATGTATAGTTGGTGTGCACAAGCAGGTGTGTGCATTCATGCATAACCACATGAAAATAAGGATCTTGACTTCCCACCTGAACCTACTTCAAATTGTAGAAGCTCAGCAGTGAGAACTGATGAAACACACGGCAACTGAAGCAAGTGCCCTGTGGCTTTAAAGCACACAATTGCCCGGCACTGTGCTGCATGACCCTGGAGAGCACCTCTGAGAAGAGCCTACTGTGGTCTTAAGAAGAGTTGTTAAGCATCCAGAAGAGAAGCTTAATGATATTATTACCCTGTAACAGAGGCAGTTAAGGGTAACATCACTATATGTCTGAATATAAAACACCTTAGACATAAAATGGTACTGCTATTTTCCAACAATGATGGATATTTTACAATTTCAATCCCTATATAATGTTTAAAAAATTACACATTTTTACACAGAAATTTAGAAATCAAGGCATATACAACATTGGGCAGACCAAAAATTAGAGAGATAGATGAGCTAGAAGGATAACCAATATTTTGGCCCTAGCCCTTCAAGGTCAGTGAGGACTCAGAACATAAGAGAACTTCTACTGTGACATCCTATAACTCAGTGGTGTCCCAAATTTTTGATCAAGGAGATTATGGGGCCACAGAGGAAAGTGATCAGTGATTATAGTATGCCTAAGAAGAGTCACCTAGAGAGAAAAAAAATTCTCTCAGGCTTTCACAGAGAGCAAATTGGTCAAGCAATGGTCATGACTCATCTAGATGGCTGACACTGACCAAAGTTCTACAAGGTGCTGTACTTGGTTCCAGGGTAAATCCTGAGGGGATTTGACTGACCTTGTCCCATAGGAAAAGTTACCTTTCTAGTTATATAGGTCTTGCTTTAACTTGGTTTTAACCATCCAGCAGAAAAGTGTAACCACAAGGTATAAAATGTACTGCCATATTAATATGCTATGCTGTAAAAAGGCTCAAGTCAACAACTTCTGACAATTGCCAGCTGTGCTGATAACTCACTACTGTTACGGACTATTGGACTATATTGGGTTATTTTGCTGAATTCAAGTACCTACAATCTTTGGACTGCCTTCAAGTATGAAAAGGTCCTTTAAAGATTTCTTCAAACACAGCTTCCCTAACTGCAGTGGAACACCCATCTCTGACAAAACAAAACAAAAACTGGGGAAATATTTGGGAGCCACTAAGCTAGGAAATTGATCAAATGTGTGTAGGTTGGACTAGACCTCAGCACCTAAAGCAAACAAGCTGCCTCAGTCCTGAGATAAACATCCTATCTGGTTAACATCAGTTATTAGCTGCAAAGCAACCTTGTTTCACATGTTACTAACTTTGCAAAAGCAGTAGTAAAGGACCATTTTGCTGTTAAAAAATATATGTATATTTATGCACAAGACAGTTAGGATAGATATACAGATGCTTTCTCTTAGTTCATTGAGAAGAAAGGTTTGCATTAATATTGTTTAGAGGAAATATCATGTCTGCATCTTGTCCTCTGAATAACTATGAAGACAACAACATGCAATGTATTAATGATTGTAACTGTCCTACTAACCTGTTTTGAATCTGTTTCATTGCTATTTTATCTTTTTTCTCATTAAAATGAATTTACAAAATAAAAAAAAAGAAAGAAGAGATCTTAATAAGTCAGGTGTACCAGTATACACCTGTAAACCCAGCATTCTGGAAAGCTGAGCCAGGAGGATTGCAAGATTTAGTCTAGCCTTGGAAACTACACTGTACCAAAAGAAAAAAGGGGCTGGGGATGTAGCTCAGTGTGAAGGCCCTGGTTTAGTCCTGATATAACAGAAGAGCTGCTCGTTAGTTGTTTATTAACCTGGGACTGAAGGCGGGGGAGGGCTGGGTATGTTGCACAGAGCTGGTTGCTGAGTTCAGCCTCCTCCTTCCCTCGGTGGCATCGCCAGTGGTCCCAGGCTAGGGAGTCAGCCTCCTTGTTCCTGTGTCCCTGCTGTGCAAAAAGCTCTGCATGTAAGTAACTCAAGCCGTTTCTGGGGATTAGACTTGGGGTGTGGGATCAGGAGACTGGGGTCTTGATTCTCGAAGCCTGCAGAAATCATGTTACAAGTATCTTTTCTCTGCTTATGTGGGTGCATCCAGCAGTCTCCTTAGTTACTTCTCTGCGCAGAGCACTGTCTTTGCTCTCAAGCAGAATGATGGGGCATTGGGCCTGTGAGACCTGCCCACCCACCCTCCATCAAGGTTTCCTAGGAAGAGCTGGAAGAGAGCTTTGAAGGTGAAATGTTAACACTGAGAAGTGCGGGACAGACAGTGAGAAGGTTACTTAATTGCCGGTGATTTTTACTCACAAAATCCAGGGAATACCAGGGAGTAGAGAGGGACCTAGCAGTCTGCTGGGGCCATGTATTGAAAAAATTCTGGCAAAAATGGTCTTGGCCCACACTGTTGGCCACGGGGAAGAAGGTTCCCAGAAGATCTGTACTCAGATTAATTCTGGGCTAAACTAGTGAGGAATACTTAGCTGGGTCTCCAATCACAACCTGATGCTGTCTCTCCAGATAATCAGCTCAGTGCTTACATCGAGTAAAGGAAAGTTAACTGTTCATGGGTAGAAACTACCTGCTCAGAAATAATAATGGGATTTGAGGGTGCCTACAGCCCCAAGCGGAGGAGGGAGACAGAGACAGAGAGATTTTGCAAACACCTGTATCTCCATCCACTCTTACTCACTAGGTCAACAACACAAGTGAACTGAGCCTCCACTGCATTTATTGTGCATATTTTTGTTAAAGTACTAATCACAGTGACACCAGGAATGTTTCCTTTTCCAAGCAACTAGCCTGGGGGCTATGAATGGTTCATCATTCCTGTATTATCCGTGCCAAGTTACAGGGCAGAGGGCACGTTGGGCAACTTCATGTTGATTAATACATGGGTGAGATAACCTCTCTCGGCTTGTCCCACGCCAAGGTGAGGACCATGTCCCTGTTTGCACCACTTCTCCTTCTCCTGGGGGTGTCAATGCTTCATTCAGAAACTGTCACTGATGAGGATGTCCGAACCTGCCCTGTGGTCACCTGTGCTTCTCCAGGACTGAATGGCTTTCCAGGCAAAGACGGACATGATGGTGCCAAGGGAGAAAAAGGAGAACCAGGTACTGGATGGGCTGCTCCTCCTCTGTGACTCTTTACTTTCCAGAAGGAACAGCATGGAGATAACGGCAGAACGCCATCTTACTTCGGTAGACCATATTTTTCTCCATGACATGCTATAAACCAGAGCACTGATGTGGCTCCCACTCTCTGGCATCACGGATTTCACACAGCATTCTGCGGCACGTGCTTGTCTTGCCTGTCCAGGAAAGTGGCCCTTAGTGCAGCCTCCCCTATGGGACACAGAAGGGTGATTTGTCCGGGTCCTTGGATGCAGTGACTCAGTTGCTTGGCCCTGGGTCAGTGTTTCCTTTCTTTGGGAAAGGAATTGGCACCAATCTCTTGGAAAGAAGAGGGGAAGAGTACAGATACTGATTTTCTTTATCTGTCAATAGGTGAAGGACTCAGGGGCTTGCAGGGCCCTCCTGGGAAATTGGGGCCTCCAGGACCCCCAGGAAGTCCTGGAACAAAAGGAGCAATGGGACTAAAAGGAGACCCCGGACAATGTCCAGGTAAGAAAAACACCCCAGAAAGGCCTCACTTGTAGGAATCCAGGGCTATGAAACCCAGAGGCTGGGGTGTATGGGGTGGTGACACCCACTTTCCCCCTCCAAATGCTTCCTGAAGTGATGTCCAGTGTTGCTTCCATGCCCACGACCCTCTCTGGTTATTTACAGCCTCCAACCACCCTATCAGTGCCTAAGCAGGGGTTAGCGAGGCTTTTGGGACCACACTTGGATCAGGCACTCCCTGCAGGATCTGAACCCATGTTCTCCTTCAGTGAGAACAGTCCAATGTGTGGCTTTGGTTCTGGGGAGAGAAAGGAGGACAGCTAAGTGTGGGCCTGTTATACCATTTTTCCTCATGCATGTGTTGTATTAGTTGTACATGTATGTTAGCTTCTCACTTCCTAAGAAACCAGCTGAAAACTTAGTGAGTTAAAAACAGCCAGTTATTAGATAAAATTATGCGGCTTGGCCCCAGAAATCCTGGAAGCAGTGGGGCTCATTCTTGAGCCTGTGGCCAGTAGATGGCCCATGATCATGCACTGCATCCATCTGCTTTCTGGTTATTGGCTAGAAGGAGAAGTGTCACTGAGCTGTATCATGTGTCTCCTGACATCATCTCATGGGTGTTCTGACATCATCTCGTGGGTGTTCTGACATCATCTCATGGGTCTCCTGACATCATCTC